TACATGCAATCCAGTGATGGCTCAATGGCATTTCTCAGAGCGGGATTCCTGATGGTGACAACAGTGGACCGTGTCTGTGTAATGTGTGCTGAAATAGCCACCTGTAGTCTCTGTTGGAAGCCCATGTGTCAGGAGCACAACTGGGAGACAGGGACACAGTGTTGCCGCCCTGTAACAGGAAGTGCCTGCCCAAGGACCCCTAGAAAGCAGGAGGGGGGGTCTAGCTTATGGAGTGTTATGCAATACTACATTATGGCCACTAGAGGTCGCTGCAGAGCATAGGAAATAAATACTTATCTCCTGTGCTCCTCGGCTCCATCTAGGGGCCACACTAAATATTGTGTATTTCTTCCTGATCTGTGCAGTACTCCAAATGTGAGACTTGGAGCTTCCTGTAATAAAGACCAGTCACTGCTGCTCTCTCTCCTTCTGCAGGGTGACTGGTCTTGTCTCCGCCCCCTCCTGTAATAAAGACCGCTCACTGCTGCTCTCTCTCCTTGTGCAGGGTGACTGGTCTTGTCTCCGCCCCCTCCTGTAATAAAGACCGATCACTGCTGCTCTCTCTCCTTCTGCAGGGTGACTGGTCTTGTCTCCGCCCCCTCCTGTAATAAAGACCAGTCACTGCTGCTCTCTCTCCTTGTGCAGGGTGACTGGTCTTGTCTCCGCCCCCTCCTGTAATAAAGACCGATCACTGCTGCTCTCTCTCCTTCTGCAGGGTGACTGGTCTTGTCTCCGCCCCCTCCTGTAATAAAGACCAGTCACTGCTGCTCTCTCTCCTTGTACAGGGTGACTGGTCTTGTCTCCGCCCCCTCCTGTAATAAAGACCGGTCACTGCTGCTTTCTCTCCTTGCGCAGGGTGACTGGTCTTGTCTCCCCCCCCTCCTGTAATAAAGACCGGTCACTGCTGCTCTCTCTCTGCTTGTGCAGGGTGACTGGTCTTGTCTCTACCCCTCCTGTAGTTTCCTATAGTGGGCGGTGCCTGATGGGCCCCTCCCACAGCTCTGCTCTCTGCACAGGCTGTGTACAGCACAGCGATGACGTCACTACTATTTTTACACGGTAATATCTGGGTTTGCAAAGCCATTTTGGTGCACGCAGAGTGGACTTCTATCCTCGGTGGCTATTAAGGAATATATGTGTATGAAAGTTCTTCTGCTTGGAGTTCAGTTTGGAGACACGCCTGGATCTCTAAGTCTGGACCCACCATGATAACATATATCTTATTCAGCAGAGGTTCATTAGTCACGGGGAGGAAGTGAGCCGAGTCTTGTGAGTGTGACAGGTCAGCGCGATGTTGCAATGTGAAGTGTCACAGTCTCTGGCAGCCGGTCTGGTGTCGCCTGGGCTTGGACGGGGTGCTGGGACAGCCGTATCCTCGGCCCTATATATAGAACGTTGGCCGCAGGAGAGGGAAAGTTCCTCCATTGTTATTTCCAGCTCGTCTCTGCAAGAGGACGGTGAGGCCGGAGTGCCTTGGAC